ACAAAAACTTTTGGCTAGTTCTCATCTGAGTAAAGTTCTGTGACTGTGAGAGCCGTGAGAGACTCAACATGACAGGGCTGGGAAAAAAACTCTTACATTTGGAAGAATCTCTCTTAAAAACAGTGTTTGCTCTCTTAATGTTTCAATTTCATTTTTAATCCAAAAATACTCCTGCTGGGCTCTTGATCTACCTAGAGTCGCAGTTCTTGCCTTTGTTTTTCCTTTGCGGCCTTTTTGTGGCTTTTCTGCCCATTTCCACACTTCAGCAAAATAGCTCCTTTTTCCCGCAAGGACGGCAGTTTCGTGGGATAAATGCCACCACCGGAAGAGCTTCCTTCGTGATCTGATTCACCCTGAATGTTACCCGAGGTTCAAACTTGGCTTGTTTTAGTCCTCCTCTGAGATTGGAGCTTGTTGATCTTTTCCCCTACGGTTCCCTGGGCATTCCAGTGGTCACGGTTTTTCGTTCATTTATTTCCAAGTAGCGTATGCAGTTCTTTACGTTTGCTCTGATAGCTCCTGCGTGCTGCATGTGCTCCAATTTGATCCCTTCTCTAGGTCAGGCCTCCCCAATCTGCAAAATGGAGTCAGGCGCTGAGCCACACTGCAATCTGTGCCACGTGCATCCCCTGCGTGCCTTCCCACCACGTGCTGGTAGTGCTCACTGTCCCCCCAGGTGAACCCCATGTTCTTTGCATTCTTCTGTGCCCTCCAGATCTAGAACCGGACAGGATCTGAGCACAGACCGAGAACAGCAGCAGAACAAAGCGGAGACTGTCTGCCAATCGATGCTCAGATTCCCCTCAGAGGCATCCTTTACAAGCAGGATGACGTCCTGGTCGCTGGACTGCTGTGACACTCTCTGCGTGGTGCTGTCTTTGGGGCAGGCTGGAAGCTGCAAAATGTGGTGATGTGGGAGACTATTGGTGTGGGGGGGGTGGCTGGGAAAGGAATGGGAGGGAGAGGACATCTAAACAATCAAGAGATGGGGGGTGAGTCCCTGGGCTGCTGATCTCATAAGTGGCAACTCAGCCCAGGTGGAGAGAAATCCATGAAGAAGCATTTCAAGTCATTCAAAGAGTCCACCTTCATGAGCTCGCTCTAAATGAGGGAGGGACATTCCGATTCCGGTATTTACTGAAATGGCCGTAGTTCTTGGTCTTCCCCAGCTGCAGGGGGCTTACCCACGGCTAGACTGTTGGTGGGCCAATCCCACCAGTACAAAATAACACCTAATTTGGAGTCATTTGGCTCTGGGGCCTGATTCAAAAAGCCGGTTCTTACCTTTAAGCCCTACATCACAACATTGGGGTGGCCAGAGATGCATCTGCCCATCCAGTCCTTCCAAAAGGGCAGCTGAGAATTTGGGATGCTCACGAGCCTTCCTCGAGGTAGTCCCCCCAGTGTGCAACTCTTTCTCCCACGGAGATCGTGCAACCCAGCTCTCTTTGTATTTTGAACGCAAGTTAAAGCTGTTTTATTCCTTCGACGCTTTGGCCTAAGCTCATTTGGTGGGGAGGTGTGGGGAGGGAAATCATTGGATATGAAAGGGAATGAATGGTATTTTACCTATTTATATTGTATTGCGTGATTTTTATTTGTTGATGCTGCTCACCATTTAGAGTCTATCAAGACTTGGGCGGGCTGGCAATTTTGTCAAATGTTTAAATGAATAAAATGGTGAGTTGTGCATCAAGATATTGTTGTCTAAATGGTTCAAAGATGTACTTGTGCGATGAAGTCATGGCACTCTTGCTGTAAGTGCCACAGCTGTATTTTCAGGAAATTGCTGTTAACAATTTAAATACATTTCAGAAGGCAGTGGAGTGGCACTGAAGCTGCTGTTAATTCACGGCTTTCCAAGGTGCATTTTGCAGTCTCTTCTGGTGAGGTTGGGTGGGGTATAAACCTCTTTCTTCTGAGTTGTTGCTGTTCAGTCGTTAAGTCGACTCTTCGTGACCCCATGGCCACATCGTGCCAGGCCTTCCTGTCCTTCACTGCCTCCCTGAGTTTG